TAACCGCAGAGCCAAGACAACTGCCCTCAGCCTGTTCATTTGTATGCACATTTTAGAGTTGCTAACTAACTAACTAACTATTTACTAACCAGGAGGTTGCTCCGACTCACTCCTGTTGACTCGTTTAAATGAAAGGTCCCGTCTGGGAATTAACACCGTGGAAATATCATATAAAGTTATGGATAGGCAGTTATGGACATTCATTTCAATAATGATAATAATAATAATAATAACAATACTACAAGGAGTCAGATAAACCTGAAGTCCTATATAACAGAGTTTGTATAATGTGGCTTAATTAAGAGTGCTAAGTGAACAGCTACAGAGTGCAGGTTGTAGGTTAATTTTATTTATCTATAACCACCAGCTGATACGCAGATATAGTGAAAGTGAACATAGAAATGTCCAACCAGCGTTGATCCAAAGCAACCATACACAATAATACATCAACACTTTACCGTTTCTTTGTGAAAGTCTGCAAAAACCCGAGTAAAAATATTGAGAAGTATAAAATTGTACAGCAGAACTCAATGGTGCCTTCACACACACACACACACACACACACACACACACACACACACACACACACACACACACACACACACACACACACACACTGCTTTCTATTCACTTCAGACTCTCTGAAGGGATTTAGTCGCATTACATTTATTTTACAAAATGATGATAGTTCTACATCAATCCGCTGATCATGTGTGGTCTGAACCATAGGAGTTGATTTGAACTAATCACAGATCAAGTGTGATCCATTGTACTAATAAACAGAAGAAAGTAGAGGAAAGCACATTTAGCATACAAAGCATTATGCTGATCTCATAAGGCTGATATAGATTAGTGTAAGTAAAACGTTTCTTAAGAAGTTAAGAGATTCAGTTTACCAACATTGAAATGAGTTGGACACATGGATTTATCAATAAATATTATGACCATCACATTTTTGCCTTTTGGGGTCTTTTATCTCCCTACATTTTTTTTAATGGCAACTTTTCATGGAGCATTTTTTCTTTACTCCAACAGAGGATTAGAATTCCTCCACACATTGGATCATAATTAAATGAGCCAATAGAGAAACGTTTTTTTCCCGCTGAACTTCAGCTTGTTCCTGCATTCAGTTATTTCGCAGTAGAACAGGAGTAGCAGGACAGGTCTTTTATTTTATATAAGTTGACATGTCACGTCTGTTCACTGACTGTGCAATTTCCAGACTGTTATTTTTAAACTCCAATGAAAGGAAAGAGCTGCTGGCACCGTTTTTCCTCCCAGGAGACACTTTGCAGCAGATTGATTAGCCTTTAGTCCCCTCCATAACTTATTGCTGACTTCACTCTCTGCCTCACATCACGCAAGCACAGCCTTGATTTCAAACATTATGAAGCTCTTTAAGCTTAAATGTACAGAGGACTGGTATATGTTCTTGTGTAAGGTTTACTCGGATATAAAAGGGAGATCGGTTTGATTCTGTTCTAAGTGCTGTATGGGTTTATCACTTGCTCGTCATGTCAATATCAATATTGTGTCCACTCTTGTTTTACAGAAAGGAAAGCAGAAGCCCGTTTTACAGTTTTGAAGAAAGAAGGGAATGAATTTGTGAAGAACGGCCAATACCAGGATGCACTGGGGAAGTACACTGAATGCCTTAAGCTAAAGCCAGAAGAGTGTTCAATCTACACCAACAGGTTAGAGTCTCACAAACATAAACACTGCAGAGGTCTCTTTCACTTCCTGTCCCTTTGTACTTCACATAGTTTGTTTCCTTACAAGGCAGAACTGTCAGATAAAACCCAGAAAAATCCAGTGGTTCATTGGGATTAATGAAAACATGCTAATTAATAATCCTCAGATGTCATCTTTAAGCGAATCCCAACTAGGCTTTAATCTGTCATTAGTAATAAATCAGAATGTATTGTTGCTAAATTGGAACACAAAGGAGCAGCTGTCTGACTCCGTACTGGTTATCAAAGACAAATACAGCTAAAACCGGACATTGACTGGGCAGGCCTGACTTCTTTCTTGCTGTTCCAGAGGAAGCTGTGATGCTTACATTTAAAGCATTCTATTATGTGTTCATGTTTGCTTGTGTATGCTAAGCTCTGCTGCGGAGACGAGCTTGTATGTTCAGCCACAGCAGAGCAAACACACAGCTGCTACTCCCACAGAGCTGCTAAAACTCAGGAGGCTAAACATACTTTGTCATTATGAAGAAAACACAGCTATTAAAGCTATTCAAGCATGTTCAGTCTTAAGTTCAATGTCTGATTCAAAGCCAATGCATCACAAACTGATAATACCTTTTAGTTATGCATCACTTAAAACTAGCTGTGGGTGGGTCAATAAAAATACTTGCGTGTGTGTGCTTGCAGAGCCCTGTGCTACTTGAAGGTTGAGAGGTTTGCTGAGGCTAAACAAGACTGCGATGCAGCACTGAAGCTGGAGCCAACCAATAAGAAGGCCTTCTACAGACGAGCACTGGCCAATAAAGGCCTCAAGGTGAGAAGAGTTAGTAATTAAAAAAACTGCCACAAAACGACTGTGCTCATTAAAAGGTGGGCTAGAGAGAGAGAAAAAAACACCCTCAAATATGTTTGAACTGGGGATGTTGTAGAATTTCTCACACCCCTTTTAAAATGAGTCACTTGAACTTGTATTTACTTGCCACTCCTCCAGGACTACCTGGCATGCAGCTCTGACCTGCAGGAAGTACTGCAGCAGGATCCCAATGTGCAGGAGGCTGAGAAGGAGCTGTTGGAGGTCACAGTGCTGCTCAGACAGAGTCTGGCTAACTCCAACGTTTCACCGGCCAAACCCAGGAAAACTGTCCCTATCACAGAGGTAGGTACACCTTAGTTTTTTTGTTTTTTTTCAAATGAGTGTATGCACAGGAAGTAGGCATGCCATGTCTTTTCTCTGTTAATCCACTTTAATAACCTCTGTACGACATCGTCAGGTTGATGGTGACCAGGAAACGACAGGTGATCCCAACTCAGAGAACAGCTGCAGAGGAGAGGATATCCCAACCAACCTCCAGCCTACAGATGCCTACGAGTTCGGACAGGCTCTGAATGCAGCGTGTTGCAGCGGGGACACAGCGATCTGTGCTGAACTGCTGGCCTCCACGACCCCTGAGATGCTTCCTCATTTCTTAAGCACCCAATTGGATGGACACACTATCAGCCTCATCATGCAGGCAATGGACTCCCACCTCCTGGAAAAGAATCCTAGCCTAGTCTACCAACACCTCAACGTTTTGCACACCACCGACAGGTTTTCGGTAAGAGTCCCTTTCATGGAACGGTTTAATGTTGCAAAAACATATAAATCCACGATAGTATTAAACGTCTACATAACCCTGACTGTAACTTATATCTAAGAAATAACACATTTCATTTGTAAGTCTTTCCTCTATCTGCAGCTGATGTTTAAATCATGCGCTGTTTTCACAGGTGGTGCTTATGCTGCTGAATAAGGACGAGCGTCGCCACATGACTCAGCTGTTTGAGCATCTGGCTGCTGTGGAGAGCTCCGAGTTCACTATGAACGATGTTCAGAATCTGGCCAACAAGTACATCTGACCCCTTCTTCCCCTGCTCCCTGCTGCATGAGCTGCTGCATCACTGAAACTTTTGGATCTATGCAAAACAATGCACACTGACTGAGTGCTCACAGGCAGGAAGCTGCGGAGTGCGTCCCAGAGCAATACAAAGGAACTAAGTCACAGTTACTCTTCTGGTGTGTGCTGTAAATGATCTGATCACTGTATGTTTGTGTGACAGCATAAGGTATATATATTTTTCTCTCCAAAACATTTTGCTATGCAGATTTACTTTTGTACCACCACTCATCATTTGCATTGTACAGCATGGTGACAGGAAGATACTGTGGACCTTTCACTAAAGTGTATTGATAAACAGGGTCCAAGGTACAATGGTATTAAAAGGCTACAGGAAATCCTTTTCCCCCTACAGGCCGCTCAATATTCTCTGGACAGGTTTGTGTTTAAGAACGGAGCTTGGTTGTCTTCAAACCCTGTTATTTTTCAGATATCAGTTATTCGATTTATGAGCTTCTGTCAGACACCAGCGACGATCTGAGATGACAAACAGTGCATGCTGAATGTAACCTAGCAAAGGAATAAGTGAGGTAATTTGCTACTGAGCTAATTAATGTCTGTTGATGAATAAGAAAAGCAGGGACAAATATCCCAACTAAAAAATAGGCCTGCATAATGTCTTACTCTGTTCTGTGCAGCCTGGTAGGTGTATCTTTTAAAATGATATCTTCTGAGAATGTTGTACGAAAAAATATAATTTATAACCTTCCACGACTCAGATGCTTTCCTTTTGTCCTTTGCCCAAGAATTGAATGAACCTAAGTTCAGAAAATGATTCACTCACTAAGTGTTTGTGTGTATTACCAATGCATTTGTTTACCAAATAAGCCTTCGAGGTAACGCATATGGGCACACGTATCTTCTCTGCAGTTCAGATGTGTACACACTAAAAAAAAAGGCAAACTCTTTCTCTTAGATGTGTCTTCAGATGTCAGACTCTGGGTCCACTTACATGTTGATGAGTGAGCAGATCCTACTCAAAAATACAGTATATTTATGTCATTCAATAGCTTCTTTAAAATACAGTTATATTTGTAAGTGCAAAAACATGTATTTTCTTTGCTTTTATTAAATATCAAGTATTACATAAAAGACTGTCTGAATCCATCTACAGTTTGTTGAAATATTTGACCAAATATACACGGTCCAGAGTGACGGGGTTAAAGGTCAAGAGGCAACCATTTCACATGCCCAGTGTGGTTTTAATATAAAAAATGTAGGTTGAAATGTAAAACATTCAGAGAACTTTTTAACTAACTTGCAAAGAAACATAAAGGTTTTCTTCTCAGTAGTGAAAAAGTTAAATAAAAATAGAAATGTGTTACCCTTACTAGAGTTCTTGCACTAACATGAAAAAGAATGAGCGGACAACATGTATTTGTTTTTTGTTTTATTTTTATGATATGCATTTACACGCATATAATAAAGCAAATTACCAAACATATACAAATACCTTATGCTATTCTGCACAAATTATGTCTGGCACTAGTGTTCAAATAAGGATCAAGAAACCGGAGTTTTGGTGAAGAATGAGAGAACTGGGGAGAAAGAAAGAAAACATTTTGCTAAATGAGTGGGGAGGACTGCAGCATGTAGCTTTATCTGCAGAACCAAACTCAAGTGTTCATTCAGAAACAGACCTGGGTCAAATAACCATTCAAGAACGCTTTAACCTACCTGGTAGAGAGGTTCACCTGAGCCAACTCAGTGGCAATAATAAAGCTGTCCACTGAAGAGAAACTTGAGCCAACACTCTGGAGTTCAGTGTTGAAAGCAGATTTTGACTTCCAAGTCTGCTCTGCAGCACCAATTGGCAAATCAAAAAAGGACAAATCAACAGGGAAGGTAACTAACCTTTCTGGATTTAAAGGTAATAAGAAGTTCAGGTAGCAGTGCAAGAGTCTCGGACCTTTCTGGGACCGCAGACATTTGTGTAGCATTTGTGAGGCATGTATAAAACAGCAGTCTGTATGTTTGTATATTCATTTGTCCCCTTGGTGTAAAAAGGATAAACCATACTGTGTCAGCAGGTGACAAATGTATGAGATTTAACAAAAGCCTGAGTGCTGTCTTTGGTAGGCAATTGGAAAGTCTTCATTTACCATATCTACCACAGTACGTTTTGTTAATGAGCATCCCTCCCGCTGACAGACATTTGGCAACCCCTAATGGGTCGTCTTAGTTTTGAGTCTTGAAGACACAGTGGAGATAGAGACAAACAGAGAACACAAACAGCTTCTTGAAGGCACCATGAGTTAACAAAGAAAGACATCAAAGCTCTCTCTTAGTCAGGGAGACAAAATCATCACAATGAATAAATCACAAGGACTAAATATTTTCTTGATAAAATTTCAGAGAGATGACCAAACCATTGGTTAATGCGAATAAGAATACTTTCAGCATTATCTCTAAAACACAGTCCTCCACAGAGCTGACCAAGGCCTGGGCTTCCAAGGGACTCTCAGCAGCTGCAGGTCCAACATGCCAAGCAGCAGGTGAAAGGCTGTTAGGCAACATCTTCTAGGTGCTAGAGCATATCCATCTTTAGTAAACCTCAGTTGTGTTACAAGTAGAATTCAGTGGTAAATAGTTCTGGATTATTTCAGATAACGAGGGAGTAATTCAGATTCCTGTTTGGAGAACCAAGTGGAAGTACCAACACTAAAGCTAAGCTGTGTGCAGCTGATTTGAGCAATACATCATTTAACCACTTAAAAGGTCCCACCTTAACCTAAGTAAGTTACTGCTATATTCTTTGCATACTTTCACTGCTTCACCTTGCTGTCAGACAGCCCTTTACTTTGGCACTGTGTTTTTAAACATACGCTCTGTATTCCTACGCATGCAATGCTATCAGAGAAGCTAATCAAGAACTACAATTGGCTGGAAATGACTTAATTCCACCCATGCTGGCGGAATGAGGATAATTTATGAACCAGGCTAAATAGAGGAATCTATTTTACAGAGAGAGAGAGAGAGAGAGAGAGAGAGAGAGAGAGACAACCAATAAACCGAGAGGAAGAGGAACAACTTTTGAAGTGGTTTGGTCAGTTGTTCAGCTCATACATATTTGGCACTCTTTGCTGATAGTTTCATGCAGCAGTTTGCCTCACCACACGTTCAGCTGTCCTATTTTTGCAGTAGATTAGTGCAGTATTGACGTTAATATATTTATAGCCAGCCACAGCTGTCTAAGGCCATTCTCATCAAAGTGAAATCTACACAGAGAAGTGAATATTAGTCCAGCTCACCATCGCATTTCATGACCCAAACAGCTCATCTAGCCAAACTCATTTGTTTATAGGCGTGACGTTTATAGACGTTTTGCTTCAAACTCTGTCCACAGTGGTACATAGAGGTAGAGGAGAAATGCTGACTGACATCCTCTGTAAGTAAAACACTGAAACACAGAAGGGTACCTTAAACTATCCCTGTAAGCCCAGGCCTTCTAGTTTTCATTTGGGGGTCCATTTAAAAACAATCATCCAGGGAAAAAAAAAATAAAGTGTCATTATAAACACAAACAAGAACACAAAGGTTCCTCTGTTACGAATACATTTGTGGGGAAGTATAAAGAGGAAATAATGATTCACATTGCCTGGTCCCTGTCTGAGTTCACTTCTGGAGAATCGCTATTATCAAGCCAAAGTCAAACACTCGCATTACTGGCACAGTGGTTTTTCATTTAACGTACACAGATCAAAAGGAAAGTTACCAAATCAGTGGGCTGTCTCTGTTACAAGTGGTGAGTAAGTGAACTGTCGTTAAGTGTCAGCAGTCTTTGGGCTCCACAGGAAGAATCACTACCATTCACAACCTTTACTTTTCTCATATGGCTGAACTTCAGGAACATCTTTAAACTTCCTGGCAGCGCTCTAACTGCCAGCGGACAAAGTGTTATACTTGAGGGTGGATTTTTTTTTTTTTTGAAGGTCCCAAAAGGTAACAAGTTGAAAGGTAGCAACAGAGATGCAGTTTGCAAAACAACAGAAATGCAGCTATAATTTGTAATTTAGTTGAGGAAATGATATCAAATAAAAACAAAATCCGTGCAGCACTTAAGGTATTGAGATTTTATATGTCAGTCTGTATACAAGAGTTCTTGGGCTGCTGCTGCTGGGTCTGTGCTGGGTGTTGTGGTTGTTGGTGGTTGTTGTTGTTGGTTTCTTTAAGCAGCTCTCTGGTGTTGCTGTGAGAGTCCAGCTCAGCAGGGCACACCATGTTGACATTCTGCTCTGTTATGAAGCAGAGAGGAGAGAGCTCTGAACCAGGACCGAGGGAGGAGGTGGGGGATTGGGGAGCAAATATAGCTCCTCTGCCCTGGGGAGAAGATGAAGACGCTGGACAGGTCTCCAGACGATCGTTCTCCACCTCAGGTAGGGGGCTGACGTTAGCAAAGCGTGTGTGGTAGTCGCCTCCGCTGGAGCCGTGGCTACAGGATGTCTTCATGCTTTCCAGATCAGAGCAGCTGAACTCAGAGAAATGGCTAGAGTGGGAGTCGGCCACAGATGGCAGGCTGCCGCTCAGTGAGGGCGAGTCGAACTCTGAAGAGTTGGTGCTCTGCTGCTCAAGCAGCTGAGCATCCATGTCCTCCCGTGTCTCGTTTATCTTGGTGCCTCCGCCGCCTTTCTTGCGTAGTTTTCCTTTGCTTTTCTTGCCCCCCGAGCCGGACGAGGAGGAGCAGGAGGCCTCTTTGGCCCACTTTGCTGAGGTTCCTTTGCATTCTAAGGATGTACAACCGTTGGAAGGGTAGGTCCAGCCACAGCGGCCAACATGGCTGCCATCATCTACACTGCTGCTGCCACTGTGGTGCCGAAGTTTGCCAGGTTTGGATTCGATGTCCACCTGGACCTCCATACTGTTCCCATCCCTGAAACATGAGGGGAAAATAAGCACAAAATCTAAGAAAACTATACTGTATACGTCCAAACACATGTTGATATCCTTGAAAACAAAAAAAACTTTCATCACTGAAGATGAGTTCAAGCCACGCATAAACCAAATATTTCCAGAAGTTGAGGCTTTTTGTTTGCTGTATATGTGCAGTGCAACTCACTATCAGAGGAGAAAGCCATTTTAAAGGCATCATTGGCAATAATGCAACGATTGCTGAGCTTTGAGGCACTTGTAAAAATCGTTTCAATTTTCCTTGGTATTGACTGGATTCTCAGAATTAAGTATCCTCTGTTTGGATCATCCATTCTGATTGGCTGCAGGGTGTTCATTGGAACTGGAAACCAATAATCTGAAGAAACTGTCTGATTGCTGTAGTAAATTAAAGTGCTAGCTACATATAAGCCTGTTTCTCAAAAGAGTAACAACAGCAAAAGGGACGCTCTCATACCTCCCATTTCTAATGTCTGCTTCTCATTTACAAACCGAAATCAAGTTAAAACATTTTGGAAATGAAACATTCCTTTAACCTTCTGGATTTGATGAAAACTCTGATGACCTGGATGGAGCTGAAGAGAAAGAAAATGAGTATTGAAGAGGGAACTTTTTTTGAAGTGCCTCATCTTCTAAATACTAAAGAATGGTGTTTGTAATACACGAGCTGCAAGACGTACACTGCCCTTTGAACTTATTCTAATCTGGATTTCAGGCTGCAGCTCACGCTCAAAAACATGGTCCCAATATTTGTTCATCAAAATCTTTTAGTGAATATGAGGACAGGGACATGGCTGATCAGCTACACAAAGATGATATGTACTGTCTATCTAACACACGTCATGTTATTGACTTTGGATTTCTAGCATAACCTTCTGGCACAAAGCTGAGTCTTAGTACTCTATGGGCTACAGGGTAAATAAATATTATCTGTTGCCAAGATCAGTTTTATTTACTGGAGTATCGAATGTTTTCATAGCATTGAACCTTATAGGATGTGAATGTCTTCTTCAGGGATTTATCGTATGCTCAGGCGTTACCAGGGAAACTGAGAAATGGTTTGCTAAAAACCTTATTGGCCATGCATTCCTAAAAAAGAACAGTATATAATTCTCAATAGAAACTAACTTTGTTAGTAAGTATTAGTGGAAAGACGCCAGACATACAGAAACACACAAACACTGTCAATGAACAAAATCTTTCCTGGTGGCATCATAAATCCGGTTTGTTGATTGTGCTCACCTGTCAAGCGGCACGTAGGAGTTAAGAATGGATCCAGCCATTGCTTTGGTGCTAGCGTTGTCGCTGATTGTACCCAAACTGACAGTGGCAGACTCACCGCTCAGACTGCAGCGCTCTTTCTGCACATCAGCCTGCACCTCTAGTCTGACAGAATATAAGGGGAGATGTTTAGACAATGCAGCAAAGAACAGTGAGGTGTAAATCTTCACCAACATTTAAATTACATGGCATGTGTTGCTGTTTAAAGTACCTATTTAAATAATTGACCATGGCACTGCCAGAGAGGCTGCCTGTGATGCTGGCTCCAGCCAGGGCCATGGTGGATGCTGTTTCACTAAGGTTGTCTCTGATGGCTCCAAGACGGTCTATGTGGCTTCCACTGGCACTGAGGCTACCCGTTAGTCCTCCGACACTACCTTCACCTATACTGGGGTTGTTCCGTGTGTCTGCCACAGATGTTGAATCTAAAAAGGAAACAACAATCATTAAAAAGCATTTAAAAAAAATGTTATGCTGTGTCTGATGAAATTGATATGAGCTTAATTCTGGGTTGGTAAGACTATTTTCTTCAAGAAGGGCACTTCAACAAAGACAATGTGTAAAGGAACACTTGAAATCTATGAAACCAGCAGCAGACTTTATTATACTTTGTTGTTGTTTGCTGGCTAAGACATAAACACACAAGGTCACAAGATCAGGTGACACTTTTTAGGTAATGGATGGTGGGGTCGGGGGCACTGAGGCTCACCTGTGGCAGCTGCCCCACTTCCAACATTCATGTCATTCTCGTCATCAAACTCTATGCGAACTCCTTTACCATTCCCAGCTGAGACGCCACAACCGCCACTACGGCACAATGAGATGGGCACTACACCGTAAACGTAAGCCAACATGATGGGAACTCCAATTCCTGAGGGGTGAGAGAGAGAGGGTGAGACAGTGGGGTCGTGTTGGACCAAACTACTGAAAAAAATAAACAACTTAGAAAGCAGTCAAAACATCCTTTAACCTCCCCATCCTTATCTAAAGCTCATAGAGAATTCATTTGACTTCTACATGATATGATCTCTAGGATTAAAAATGTTTTCTTTTTATGGTGACAAAGTCAATCAAGGATAGGTCAATAAAGATATGCAGGCAGAGTGCTTTAGCAAAGAGGGGGGTTGGGAGGGAAGGCAGGAAAGTTTGTAGAACAGACTGACCGACAGTGACTGCAGCCACCACTGGAGACACGATAACAGAGAGCGTCACTCCACCAGCGATCACCAGGTTCCTCTTGTGGTTGGAGATATCTTTGCCTTCATAGCGGTTATGGATCTGACCGGGGGAAGGGGAGAATTAAGTCACATGGCCAGAGAGAGGAAACTCACCACGCTAACCCAAACCACTTTGGATCTAAACCTTTGTGTTATGGCCTCTAAGACTCTATGCTGGAAGAGTGCTCAACCAGTAAACCGTGATTTAAGCATTGTTTGGTTGTGTAGTGCACTGATGTGATTAAGATGACGTTAGGATGACATTATCAGGTGAAAGCTAAGGCTTCTGTTTTCTCTTCGTCACACTATGAGTAGTTGATGACATCATTCGGTTATCTCACTTATCCTGAATTAAAATCCAGTCAGAGGATTGTTTAAAATATAAACCTAACCTCTAGTTTTTACAGAATTAAGAGATATGGAGGCATTTACTGAAACAAACTGTACAATAACCACGAAATATCACCCTGTTGATACTGTGCTTTGTAGATATTCCTTATTGTCCTCACTATATCGTATTTACATTCCTCATTTGATTTATATTTGGACCAATAAAGTATTTCTGATTCTCAATAGTTGCCTAGAGCAAACATAGGCTGTGTTTTTTCATTTCATCTATATGCCTTTGCTCTCATTTCTAAAAAAACAAAACTTTCAGAGTATTAAACGACATATAACCTGTTTAGATAAAACATTCAATACTTTTTCCGCTCAATATGTTTCTGTATTTTTACCGGAAAATAATCCAAAACATGGATCAAGTGTTTAAACTGTACGACTTGTCTATCAATCTAGTTCAATCAAGCAGGAACAATTGAATGTATTCTTATGGACTGCATATAAATCTGTTCAAACAGCCTCACCTTCCTCCCCACATACACAGGGATGCCAATAATCATAGCAGGGATAGCGATGCCGGCAATGAGTGCGATGCCGACAGGGGCACCAACAAGTGTTCCCAGTTGCCAAAGAATCTTCTTCTTCCTGCTCCATGGCTTCTTCCCCCAGAAAGTACAGCCTGAGGGACTGAGACAGAAGTAATAGAGGAAAGATTAAGAAAAATGATTTCACACATGTGATGGGACAAGATCTTCTGTTTGCTGTCTGGCTTCATGTCTGTCCTGGAGGTGGGTGGTACTGGTTAAAGGTGGGTGACACAGTCTAAGTCAACACTGTTAATTTGTCTGTATGTTTTGCTTAAGTAAAAGGGGCCATTCACTCAAAACACGATTTAACCTTTACACATATGTATTCCTGACATTTGAAACTCCTTGGAAATGTTACTGTATTCATCCTGACTTGCTTGTTCGATTTATGTATATATTTATCTGTATCTGGCTTATGATGATGTCTAGAGTAGCATCTATTGACCAAACACCAATATGACCCAAACAGACAACATTCAAACAAGTTAACAAGTGTGGGGTTTTGCTTTCATTTATTATTTCATTCCAAGCATGTGAAAACAAAGCTTTTGTATTAGAGCTGGGGCTGTATGGCAAAACCTGAATTATCAAGTGCACTAATTATACAGGGAGACTGCATTTAATGAGTCAATATAGCACAATCCTGTTGGGAAGAGGTTGAGACATGTGAGTGTCTCAAATTAGAGTTTATATTAATGCACCTTTGTGGTTAAAAAGTGCTTAAGTTTCATCGAAGACGAGCAGATATGGCACACATGTCTGTCAATCTTTATGCCCTATATCTATCGTGCACTGTACCTTGCTCAGTAAGGGTTTTGGCTTGTCCTGATTTACATGCACAGCCCATTATAACAGATAAACTGTGTGTCAACATGCTTTGAATAAGCAAAAAATAAGCCCCATGAGCAGATCATTATGCAGTGGGAGATTATAGTTTTATATTGTCCATCTGTGTGCTATTGACGTTGGTTTTAAGTCTGTTTTTTCACTGATAGTAGACTTCAGTCTGCAATGGAGTTCCTGCGATTAACAGTCATTACAGAAAACGTAAAGAAATGTGTGTTTGCCTTTGCATTGTTTGATCACTGTGAAGAAGGTGGTAATGATGATGTTAAAATACAATACAATACTTTATTGTCCCCCAGGGGGGAATTTGTTCTTACAGCTTCACTTTAAATGTGTTATGTTTGTGTCTGTGTCTTTTATTTTTTTTCTTCCATCAGCCGTGTCTGATTTATGAAGACATGTATGTATGTGTAGTAGTTGAACTGACCTCAGGTAGTGCAGGTCTGAGATCTCCTTCATGCAGAGCCAGCAGAACTCGCAGCCACAAACAGCACAGGTCATGTGGTTACAGCTGCCATCATTCATCTTGATGATGTAAGCGGCACAGCGTGGACATGGCTTTATGTCATCGGCTGAAGGATAGAAAGAAAATATGATAAATGATTTGTAATATTTCTATTTGAATGATACAGCACAGCAAAACCTGACATCTCTGACCCAATGAAAACTGTCTTCCTATGATAAACAATCCTTCCAGCTTACAGAGCTGATAAAACAGCAGTGAGTGCTGACCATGCATATTGATAACTAATAAACATCAAGATAAAAACTGTTGTAAGGGCGCTAGTGGTCCAACGGTCGCGCCCATGTGTAGAGGCTGTAGTCCCCGAGAGGGCGGCCAGCTTCAAGTCAGATCTGTGGCTCCTTTTCCGCATGTCACTCTTCACTCTCTACCCTTCACTTCCATTTCCCTACTGTATTCACTGTCCTCTGAAATAAATGCATAAATAAGCCCAAAAACATCTTGAAAACCGAAAACAAAAATAGCATTAATCGTTGTTCATGTGCACACTGCACACTGTATGTACCGTGCAAACTGACTGAAACCCTTTTACAACAAACATTAGGAATTTGAATAATTGTATAATTGACAAAAGGTAAAATCTTACATTAAAATTAATGTACCCTGTTCAAAATGTATTAACATAACAACATAAAAAACATATAAGTTAGTTTCCTTGATTAAACCAAAAAGAATTCAATTAAATCAAGCCTGGGGGGTCTGGGGGTTTTCTGGCAAGAAATGTTGTGCATCAAACACTATATCTTGTATCATGATGTATTTTTGTGCACTAATATGTCAAAATTTAAAATGAAATATATTTTAAGTAAATAATAAATATCTGGTACTTCCTGCATAGATGTCATATTTCATATGTTATCGTTCACATGGAGTCTGATGATAAAAATGTAAGACACAGAGAGAAGGTCATTTATTTTCTTCTTCACCTAAGCTTTGCCTCACACTCACCTTTCAGAAGTATAAATTAGCCCGACTGTAACATAATTCACTTTCTACATTTTACCTGCAGTTAGAAAGTTTCTCCACTTTAGATTAATGCCTTTTTAAAACCACCCGAGGACTAGAAAACAGTTTTTAAAACAGTCTTTTAACGACCTTGATCCTGACTCTATAATTATGAACTCTTTGTCCCTCATAGTGTGAACGCAATTTGTGGCGATAACGAGTTTTAACCTGTCTTTATTTGTTTATTATCAACCTTTTTTTCCTCTGTGGTAGGACTACTTCTACTATACGTCGGCATGTCCAAGCTTTTTAATCACATGCAACAACACTCTAACCAAGACATGACTGGATATTAAAAAGCCTTAACATTTTTTTTTATGTTTTATACTCTGACAGACACAAAACCAAAAACTTCACGTTTAATCATGAAGCCTTGTTTTACTCTGTGTGACTCTCAGGTTTATCAGGGAAGTTGATGAAATCCGCTGCAGTCTGGAGTTTATAACAGTCACAGCTGTCTCAAATGAACAATCCCTCCGCAGGCTGAACGTGCATTCACAAGATCTGCGTAGGTGTTTATAATTTATGGACAAAATCATTGATAGGGACAATTCATTGGTAGCCCACAAACTGTACTTTATAAAGTGTGTTCTACATGAAAACACCCGTCAGTCTTTGACAAGGGCCAAACCTGATCCAGGAGGTGAACACAAAGACAAACAAGAAGCTGCTCAGCCAACCTGCTGCTCCGCTCTCTTGGCTGTAGCTGAGGGAGGATGAGCGGACTGTCCTCAGGCGAAGGCTCTGGGCTCTCTGCTGTCGGGCTGCATCACAGGTCTGGTTGGGATGCCACAGCTGCTTGCAGTGGTAACAGAACTCTGTGCCACAACCTTCCCTGCCACACGTGATTTTAGGACAGCTTGCGCACCCGAAGGCAATCACTGCATATCTGGTAGAAGACAAACATGAATATAATCAGGACAAAGTTTTAGTATACAACACTGACATCACAGAGTTTTGCCTGATTTTCTTTTACAAAGGTTGAAGGAAACATTACAGTCACAAAAAAATGGTGCACATACTGTATGAGTAAAAGTGATGCATATATAATAAAATATCATATAATATCATAGTAAGAGTCAGTTGACCGTTACCCTGTAAAAATGACCCATTTAATGTCCTGATATTACTACTTGTTCTCACTTAAACATCTTTCGGTCTCTATGATCACATCACATCCATCGCAACTGTCTCTGCTATTCAAGCTAAACGCCAAAGGAATTAGGATGAGACCCCTGTTCTTCACTTCGGGTCCTGCTCACTTTGTCAGGGTTCTGTTCGCTGTTCTTTATCTCCTATATGACTTCTGACAGTCAGTTTGCCAGTAAACAATAGTTCAAACTACTTCAAATAATTCCAAACCTGAACTGCTACTTTCTGTTATGAAAAGCCAACTGTAAAGACTTTTAAAAAAGATGTCATCTCAATTCATAAATGAGGCGCTGATTTGATTTGTCAGTAAGCTGAGTCATTATTTGACCAAGCAGGACCTCCAACACAAACACAATTCATTAACAGTGAAGCGGGGGGTGAACTCCAACCACCCATCACTCACAAAGGGGATTAAACAGCAAAAATAAGACAGCACTGTTAACGGCAGAGGGGCACGCAGAGAGATGGACACATAGAATGTAAACACACAGATTATAATAAGAATATAATACAATGTGTATTGTACATTACACACACATTATATGATGATATTGTACACTGTAGCAGATGAAACATAGCTCTAGAACATGGATCGGCAAAGTGGAGCTGCATATGGCTCTTTTACCCCTCTCTAGTGGCGCCCTCTAGCTTTTCCAGATCCTCATACAAGGTAAGCATTAAGGCCTTGTCATCAGAAAAGCATTGTCATGAATGATATGCCAAAGCATAGGCCTGCCCGTTTGCGGGTATGCAACGGCATACTGTCAATCTCAAGTTTTCATCAATTGTGCAGAAAACCTTATAGCAATTGGGATTTTGTTGTTTACCAGAGGCATAAAACAGGATTGAGTTGAGTTTTGGAAACTGTTAAAGAAAGTTAAAAACATTTTAAAAAATCCAAATCCCTGCAGGTTTTAACTCTAGCTGAAAACATTTCCCCAATGCCTCTCAGAGTGACCTCTTGCCCTTAACTATTGAGCAACAGCGCTATTATGAAGGTCCGCCGCCATTATGCCTTTGCACTTACACATTGCATCTGCAATGGCGTAATATTGGTGTCCCAGAGTGTAATTTCACATTGCATGGCGGTGTTGCGGAATCATGAGAGGCACAGAGCACACAGTCCTGTAGGTTCACACAGTAAAACTGAAGAAAAAACTAACATTTATAAAAAAAATCACTGGCCCTCCATGCTCCTGTTAGACATCATTTTAAAGGGGATATATTATGCAAAATCTGCTTTGACAGTTTTTTGAACATATATTTGGGTAACCTGAGTGTCTACCGACCCACAGAATGTAAAATCCATCCAGTCCTTTTTTTTTGTGGTCCGCATAAGTCTTACAACACTGAGAAAAATGCTCAGTTTCAGATTTGCTGTTAAAATAATCCCCTCCCCTGATAGCTCCACCCATGGACTCCACCCCCAGCCTAGAACAAAACTTTTGCGCAGGTCCGTCGTTTTTATTCTCACTACAGAGAAGTTCTCCAGGAGAACTTGGGGGGGGGGGCTCAATGAATTTAAAGAAACACACACCAAAACGGAGTGTTCTGAGAGAGCTGGTTTAAACAGGGTCACAAACCTCCTCTGGTGCTTGATTCATGTTATATTTTGACCAAAGCACAGCACAGATGTTTCATTTAGACCACAGGAGACTGTTTTCAAAGGTAGAAAAGGGGTATATAACATGTTCTCTTTAAGTGAGGGGCCCGCAAGCAGAGCTGCCTCCATCATCTATATTTGTGAAACTATGTCACCATTTTCTAAAATACTTTTTTGACCTTTGGAGGATCGCTGGAGCTAACTTTCTCTTTTCACTTTAAAAGAACATGTCCATGTTTTATTTATTGGCAGCTCAAACTCTGCCTATTATTGAGAAACGGGCATGCCATGTACACTAAGGGCCTGATTTACTAAACAAATGTGAAAACTGATCTACTAACGGCGAACACTGAGCACTGCGTCAAACGCGCATCGTCCATTTATTGTCCGTTTGCCTTAATGAATATGCAATACAGGGCATTTATACCCCAAGAGTGCAAAATATTGGGAGGATATATTCAAAATTGTATATTCTCCACCAATGGGGCATGCTTGAATATAATGTTTCCTACCCATGGCAGTTCTCCACAGAAACACATTATCTCACAACACTTTCAACTTCCTTAACTTGTATACCTGATACATCTGACAAGAACAGAGTTTATAACAATGTGCCAATGCTCACACACTGAGCCTCATTCACTTCTTACCCACAGTCTGGTGCAGGACACCACCGGCAGTCAGGGTCAGCCACTAACCATCTCCTCAGCATGAACTCCTCATACTTGTCCATGAGTGTCTGGTCACCGAGGATTATGCGGATGTCGTGTGGGTTGAAGCGCTCTGAGCACTCAGGGCAGCTGATGTTTACACGGGATTCAGAGATCTCAATACGCAGGTATTGGCGTAGGCAATCAATGCAGGAGCGGTGTGGACAGGTCATGATGTCAGGGAAGTGCTCCCTTGAGTGGCGCAGAAGGCACAGCGGGCACTCCAGGAACTCTCTCTCACCCCCGCCCCTGGAAGATGAGGAGGATATAGAGGAGGAAGGCCCTGAGGCAGATGAGGTGGCAACAGCAGAGGCAGCCCCAGTCCCAGCCAAAGAGAAGAAAGAAGAGTTTCTGTCATTACACATCTCCGAGTGGATACTCTCGATGCTAGCGATACCATCCACCCCTCCGAATCCTCCAGGTCCAGAATGGTGGAGTTCTCTCGACCTTTGGCGTCCTGGTTTGGGCTCCCTGCCTCGCCGTCCGAAAAAGAGGCGAGGGACAGGCGCCTCTTCTTGGGGGCCTTCTTTACAGAGGGCAGAGAGATGGAGGAAGCAGTGGACTGCAGGTCTCGGTCGGAGCCCATCACTCCACTGCCACCACCCAAAGGCTGGAGCTTCTGCAGGCTCATCTCTCCGGAGGATGGGGAGGGGTGTCCCAGCGGGGAGCCAGCGCTGGGTAACCTGCCCCTTACATGTACAGGAAGGTCTGGGAGAGGAATGGGACTAGGAGAAGGGGTAAGGTGGTGGATGGGGGAGGGGGAGGGTGGTCCAGGGTGGGGGGACAGGGCTCCGCTTGGCCCGTCTGGGTTTAAGACATGGTGGCTTCTCCTGATCAACCTCGTGGTCACATCTAATAGCCGGATTTTGGCGGAGGGGTTGGGGTCACCTACCGCAAAAATGATGCAACAGAATCTGTAGGAGAAAAAGAAGAAAGGGAGAGGGGAAAAGAGTGGGAGACATAGAAAGAGAGAGGATAGGAAAGTTAACATGATGATGTAAATTAGATACTTTGAATGACAATTTCGAGATGAGATCCAAGTCTGGACCACTATGACCAACATTTCATGCTCCAGTCCTGTGACTCAAGTGACCCATATCCATGAGCCAATAAAAACAAGCAATACGATCTCTGGAAAATCTTCTCTTTAGTTTTAATAGTTCTGAATCTTACTCTGAAAACTTTTCATTCTATGTTCAAACATGACTAAAATTCACACGAAATGTAGGATGTGAAACGTGATTGGCTGGACACACGTTTGTGTAGCTGATCAGTTTGTCACTCACAGAGGACATAAGGTTGACAACCTTGGAGAGTATTGACGCAAAGAACCCGCTCTAATACGTCCATTAGAGCAACAGTGCCAAGGCAAGGGATCAGTGCGTCCTTCGCTGATTAGAGCAAACAGAGGCAATGTGAGATATAGCAAAACAGAAGAAAGCATGCGTTTTCCCCATACAGGAGTTTCTAATGCAGCAACAATTCAGCGACAACTGTAGCTCACAATTGCAGAGGCAGACGCACAAGTGTCTTATATAAATCTGACGCTATGAGGGTACATGTGATTTTTGCAATGCATTTTTCGAGCTTAAAGCAACAATATGCAACTTTTTCACCTTTAAATAATAGTTTCAACGGTCGATTTAATAGCACAATACATTTTGTTAGGGAGAATGGCGTTTCTACCTTGACCACAGCACGGCCAGGTCACCAGTTTGCTGCAGAATGTAATTTAATATAATTGCTGAGGCCAAGAGTAACAGGACAGTGACAAATTAAATTAAGAAGAGGAAAAGAGATTAAGAGGACATTTTAAAGTTGGGTGAATTGTGTTGAAAATTGTTTTTTTTATAAAAAGTCATACCTCAGGTTTACAGCGTTGGGGGGGTGGGGACAAGTCGACATGCCGACACGGCGACTTGAAGTAATCTTGGTGCTCATGCGTTACTTTTAATGACAGCTGTCCTTTTCTATTGGAAAGGTATCCTTAAATGACTTCTTTCCCTGATTTCCGACTCTATCCACTATCCTATCTCTACAATAAAAGGCACAAAAAGCCCCCAAAAAATCTTTAATCTTTTAATTGACCCCCCCAATGTAATGGTAGGGGAAACACTGTACCTGATGTAGTCAGTAGTCGTTTTACGTTTCAATTTGAATATTTTAAATATCTCGTACCAATATGACTTCAGCATTTTTTTTTAAACCTTTATAATCAATATTATAAAAATAAAGTACAAGTTTAACGTGTGACATACAAAACTTTTACTGCAACTGTTTGCTGATGATGTGATTCTACTCTCTCTGTTATGGAGCATTCTTCATAACAATCCTCCCCACACATGATAACCTGCTGTGGATGGAGTCATACTGCACATACTGTATTTGAAACATGTGGCCATGGTTTCCTTAACTGACATGGTACATAGCAACCTCTGCCATCAGTGTTTGAATGGATGTGATGGGTAGGTGTGACACGCTGTGTAAAAGCACTTTGAGTAGTCAGAAGACTATAAAAGTGCTCTACAAGTCTAAGTCCATTTAACTGTTTGCACAGATTTATAAACTGTAGCCTATGAAAAGTTTTGGAAACTGTTTGCACAGTTTCATAAATTGTGTGCATGGTTTGTTTGCACTGAAAATCACACAGAAACGGGTCGTAAAGTGTTGGTATTTTATTGTGTACGGTACCTTTGTTAAATACTGCTTTGTCTTTTCTCTGTTCGCTCTCACCCTGTCTGACCTCATGCAGGTAACAGCTGGTGTCTGTGTGGCAACAATCAGTACCTTTATGTTGGTCGTTACTGCCTGCTGCACTCTGTTGATGAAAACTTAGACAATCTCTTAGTTTCCATTTCAATAGGCAAAATTTTGATCTTCCTTGTCATTATACTTAACGTGAAACCGAAATGTCCCCACATCCCTGACTTTAAAGACAGCGGTGCTACCTCAGACTGCTGCCTCTCCTCACTGCTCGCTGTGTGACAGGAATGGGTGAAATCTGACACCAGTGTTGTCAGCGTCCACCAACTTTAGCACAGTGATTGGATATTAACTCTGGGGTAGGAGTTTCCTTATCCCAGTGCATTGGACTCACAGGCACACACAACAGGGCCAATTTGAAAAGAAATATAATGCATTTGAGCTATTTGTACGAAAACAAAAAAAATGTAATTGAAAAGCGTGAATTGAACCAAGGATGCTGTACCAAACAGTTCAAAAATTATATTGAGAATTGTTGAATGCCAATCATAAACAAAAAGGTTGTGCTGTGAAGACACACATTGATGCATACAAATTGATCAAAATGCAGGAAAAGAAAATGTTAGTGCCTGAAGTCCCCCTAAAAACTCTTTTGACACTACATGATCTTCTTCTGGTTGACCTCTATAAAGTTAGCAATATTGCAAAAGTGTTGGTTGAAAGCCAAACAGTTTTTCTAACTGCATCTTAACGCTTTACTTTGTGTTTATGGGAAGGTTGATTGAGGCGGTAAAGAAAGAGTATGTGTTATTTTAGGAGAGAGTTGCTACCAGCTCCAGCTTACTCTCTTGGTGACCATCCCCAAATGTGAACCAGTGTATTTATCCAGGTCTTTGGTTACAGGACAATAAATCTGTTTGTGCAAACATACACAGGTTAATGCCGAGGGACACACACACACACACCCATAAACTAGCCATGCAAGCTGTAGGGGCCTGAAGAGCACACTCACACTGCAAATTGTGCATATTCTGTAAGCACTTACTGCAACTTCAATAAAACCACACTGTCATTCTGCAATGCTATGCAAGATCAAAGGCAGCGAAGCTCTACAGCGGTAACCAAACCACTGACACAAGCAGCACTAAGCCTCTCTGCTAAGGGTTGTTGTACTCTTACTACCTCCAACCCAAATCATCACCGTCTCCTTCCCCTTCTCACAAATACAAACACCAACAAATAATACTCAGAAGATAGTGATTGCCCCCTGTACCTCAGCTTTGACTGCTCTTTTTTTGAGGCAGGACTGAAAACATTACCCTCAAGATGTGCTGGGCAGGGGTGACCTGAGTGTCAGCTGGCTTTAAAAACAAACTTCCAGCACAAAAGTTATAGTTTCTCATAGTCATAAATATTTTTAACAGAAAGCCATGGAAAGAAAAGAAGAAAAAAAGCAGAAGAGCGTAACAGAAAATAAGTGGAAATCCCCTTCAGCTTTTTCCTTCAGCACTCTTCCAAAAGACAGACTGCAGTCCAAAGGTACTGCTGTTGAGTGTATTTTACTTTGAATGATACATAGGAGTGTGCAGTTTGATGAATGAAAAGAGGATGCAAAGACGGTATCCAAAATGTGCCAAGGAGTGACTGTTCAGGTCAATCGCCACAAAGCAGATAGTTCTGTATGTGATAAGGAGATGATGATGCAGGTAGACTGTGCCATCTGTCTCATCTGAAGGTCCTGACTAAATCCCATTCACATAATAAAACACCTATGCACTCATTGGATGCAGGCTGTTGTCAGCTGGAAAGCCTTTTCTCATTTCACAAACTGAAGTAGAGCCTTTGTCCACTGACTTCCACAAGCATCCACAACCACAAATTTAGAAAGCTTCTCTCAGTACATTTACATGCACAGTTAAGAAGAGCTACAGTTATATCTCAATTAGGGCCAACTAACCGGACCACTGTCCTTATACCAGTATACACTAGGACTGTCACTTTTTCAACAAAACAACTTTAGACAAATTTCAAAAATCTAATATTCAAACACCTACGAAACCACCAAGTCATAACAAATTTTATCTCAAGACACTCTGCAAAAGAGGTTTGTTTTATTATCTTGCAAAAGAGCAGGTAAAAGACCTTACTCTGTGTTATACTCATTAGCCTACTGTCTTTAACAGCTGAGGTCAAGAATGCATGCAATGGTCATGTTAGCACCCTCTGGACTGTATATTTTCCCAATGGATGTGTTACATGTTTGTTAGACAAAAATAAAAAATAAAATGCTAAGCTCATCCTGCAGCACATAATTACATTTTCTTATAGTTGCTTCTTAAAGGGATAATTCACCCATTTGCATTAAGCTTTGTATCATTAGAAACTTGGTAGTATTTTTGAACAGTCGTGCATCCCGCCCTCATTTTCCCCTGAGACGGGAAATCTATGTATTTTTAAGTCTGACAAGGAGCCTCCGATGACGCAAAAATTGTCATTTTGCGTGAATGAGTAATATGGGAAAATTAAGAAACGATTCAACAACAATTTCTGAGTTTAAGCAAAAGATTATCAAACTGAGAAAGGAAGCCAGACGTTGCCTTGGGGGCAGAGTTCATTAGGCATTCCAGGCAGAGAAAAGATTCAGTGGTGACCTCAGTTGACCTGCTGCAGGCTGGGAGAATATAACTTTCACTTTATATTCAGAACAAGGACATAGTGGGATTTTTTTCTCCTTGTTTGTGGAAGGTATATTACATTAAGTGAGACATTTCTTGAGAAGAATGGCTAAATGTTTAAGACTTTGCACAAAGGGAAAAACACTCTTAATCTGGTCTATATACAACATTTGGAACAATGAAGATCCCATTCTTTAATGTTTAATGTTTGTGTGTTTTTCGCTGCCATTTGAGAGTTATGCTTATTTATTCATATTTCTTATTTCTATCTTTGTTGGCTGCGGGTTGGGACATGTTACATTCCAGTGATCCAAGAGCCTGGGAAAAGGTTGTTGGCATTCATGGTGGGATTTTTATACTCTTTTTGGTTTTATTTCGTGTTGTCGTGTATTCCAACCAAACAACTTACAAATACAATCACTGTATAATCGCTAGTTATCTTGAAAACCAAATAAACCAAGTTAAAGCAACTATTTGGACAGCAATGCTTTCCTGTGTTACCAGTATTCTCTTGACCTCCTTTTACTACACTCTCCTGCTTTCTCCAACAAAAATGATTTCCAGTGTTCAACCTGTCATCTGTCAGATTTACGTTAGCCTTTAAAGACCTCTTAAGGTGTACCTTGAAGGGCAAACTTCTCCATAACAAAGCCTTTTCTTTCTATAGGGCAAGGAAGGTAAATCTGTAGTCCAACTGAGACGAGTACCACCCTGGGTGACTAAGCAGTGCAAAAGAATGCCCTTCAGCCCTCTCAGTTAATTATTAGACCTGGGACTCTAAATTTAACCAGCAGTCTAAATTGTGACCTATGTTACTATAGTGGAATGCAGTGTGCTGTTGTGTTGGTGGTGGGGGGATAGGGGGGTTACATGTGTGTGGGGCAAAGGAAACCACCCAGAATACACATTCAGTTGATGCCTGGCACAGTAGTCATGCACCAAAACAATGTGGAAATGAGCCATATCCCATATCAGATTGTTGAAACATTGAAAAATAACATCCAGGGATGTGTGGATGCAAATTGAGATTAAGAGATAAACATGAGGAAGCGAGCGAGGGATGCATTTAGGTCTCTTTATTGTTTTTGGGACGGGGGTGAACATGTACATATGCCTTGTACAGCAGACACAACGAAAGGCGCAGCTTCAAACCAACAGACAAATTTGAACATTCAAACATGCAGCAGTCAGCCACTGTCCTTAGCCAGTCAGTATCACTGTAGCAGCATTCCTGGCTTGTCTGTCCCTTGTGTAATGCTGCCTCTATGCACATTCCTGGGCTTCTATTGGGCTGGGACAGTCAATGCATTAGCAAAGCTTCTACAGCATCATGAACAGATATAGAGCAACCTCCTGACCAGCAAGCTGAGCAACTATTGAGTGATGTTGGATGAAAGTCAAACATTGCCTCTCCCTACTTAACAAAGTGTGATTCAACCTTAAAACTGAGGGTGTGTTTAGTGGCTGCATTTAAATGACAGGGCCTTGTACTAGTGCCTTTAGTAAAAACATTAAAAAGTGTGATTAATCAACTAGAAGTGGAGAATACAACTTTGATAATAACAAATAAAAGGTGTAAAATAATGATGCAGAGAAAGGGCAAGATGAACAGTGACATTGTTTAATGCACAAAGACAGGCAAAGCAGGTCGACAGAGAGAAGAAAAACTAAAGTTCCCAACCCAAACAAAGCCAGTACAGTTTCCGGCTGACCCCTCCTCCAAGACTTCCCATTTTCCTATCCTACCTCACTTCACTTGAGGAGAGGAAATGAGGTAAGCATCCTGGCATTTCTGTTTAGCAGAAAAAGCAAAGCACTCAGGAGGATGGAGCCGAAGCAGTGACAGTACATTTTTTTAAAATCTTGACGAACCGTTACACTGCATCCACTGTCAATCATGTCAGCTATGCATCTAATTATGGTGAACACGTATCCTATTCAAAATTAAAACAGAACTGTTTAAAAATAATTCACCCCCTGTACAGTGTGTGCCAGTGATGACAATAACTAATCAGACCTATTTCGTTTTATTGTACCAGGCTGTAAACATTTATGCTGTAAAAACAGGTTTTTTTGCCTGTGTGTGTGTGTGACTTCCGGTGTTTCCGGTGTGTTGAGCAGAGAAGATTAGCCTTATATCCAGACAAGCTAATTATTAAATAACAGTGACAGGCTCTCATTAAGTCTTGTGTAAGAAGAAAGTGTCCACGATGGCATTTGTCAAGCCGGAACACAAGTTACTATCGCAGCTACCAATAGCAACAAGAGTGGAAAAGATGCACAAGAAATGTGCAGAACAGCTGACATCACTGCACCTAGTCAGCAACAAAGATAGCCTTGCCCATAGTAGCCTTGCCTTAGGTTGAAGAAGTTCACATGTTAGGCAACTTGCAAATAAAAACACAATCCATTTTCAAATCTTGTGCAAATATATCCTTAAAATTAAGTATTTGCCGTTATTCTAAAACACAGCTGTTAAAGTGAATTCTGTGTAGGACAAGGTCATTATCCAAAATTAATGTATATCACTATATGTATTGTAGGGGTGTAAAGGTACACGTACTCGGACCGGATCATTTCGGTACCAGGCGCGGACCGATCCGAGTACACGCGGAACAAAATTGCTTTAATGTGTTCCCGCAAAGCTGAAGCACACCTCAGTGTGGAGGAAGGCTGCAGCCGCTGGTATGGGACACAACTTTTACTTAGTAACTTGTAAAAAAGTCAAAACATAAACTGTGCAAACTGTGCAGACTACTAGTTCCTCGAGCCCTGACAGTTTGGACAGCTGCATATAACCGGGATGGAGTTCTTTTTTCGGACTAACTCTTCAGTTTCGTTTTCATTTTCAGCGATGAAAGGGGAGGGGGAGACGCGTCTGTGTGGGAGAATAACCTGCAGCATGATAGAATGAACACCCTCCCTCCCCATTCCCACAATAATGGACATAGAAACGTTGACAAGACGAGAGTAGTGTGCCGTCGTTGTTCAGCGGACATCAGGTACGTCGTAGGCAAAATGTCCAACTTATTAAAGCACCTGAAAAGGCACCACGCGAACGTAAACATCACTGCAACTAGGAAAAAAAACAAAGTCTTTTGCTAAACGGGTCAAAGCCATAACAAATGCCATTGAAGTTCTTATATCGACAGAGGGAAATATTAATAGTTCTGTGATGAAACTATACTGTCCCAGATGTGATTAGGTTTATTATGTGCTCAAAGGGCATTCAAAAAACTGTTGCCTTCACAAACTAAAAGGTGTCACTGTAATTAAAAATAAATATTTTTACATATAGGCTATATTAATAACTTCATTTCATTCTAAAATACTTTATTTCATTCATATCTTTTATTTATTGGAGACTCTTTTGGTTGAAGGATGCAGCATAAGTTTATTTTTTTTTTATACAATGTTTAATTTAAAATGTTATTAAAAAGTACCTGAGCAGGTGTACAAGTCTGAGCTGTCGATGCTGCACTTAGCCCAATGTGTAAAAGGGAAATTCTAAATGTTCCTAATAAAGAAAAAAAAATTGTTGCATCAGGTCCCTTTACTGTACCGAAAATGTACCGAACCAAAGCTTGAAAACTGAGAACCGTACCGAACGGAAATTTTGTGTACCGTTACACCCCCTAATGTATCGTATAGTGGCCTGGCCTCTGTATCGTGATACATATTATATCATGAGGGTTGGACTGGGACAAAAAAATCTTCCCTGGCTTTTTAAGCCCACACTGGCCCCGAACAATTGACCAAACATGACCTTGCGGCAGCTCTCTTAATACACCGACTGTTACACAATATCCATCCTCAATCAAAAGTGTAAGAAGTGAATGTCAAGGAGAAAGAGCTAGTTTTCAGTATTCATCCTCATCTAAAAGGTATTTTTATTGAATAGTACTTTATATTTAAGCTTAATATGACAGCTTTTATAAGTAGGCATTATACAGTTAAAGTTAAGAATTCAGATAAGAGATTCTCTCAAAAAAACTGTTCTTCGCTGCGCTTTTATTTTGTATAACCTATATTGACTTTTATTTTGATAGAGAAAAAATGGACGTCCAGTTGATCGAAAGTTATGACAGTAAGTAACTACAAATACAAAGTACTACAAATACTGTTGATGAATGCCACCAACAGAGCAGTGTACAGCTGAAGTGCCGCTGAGTGAGGCTGCGGGCTGCAGCGTGTGTGGACAAGAGAAATGAAGGGAAGCATGAAGTCTGTACGTAAACAAATGTTCCTATAAGTAAGAGAATACATGACATTTAACCAAACATAATTTAAGAAGGGTCATGTATTTAGAGTTTATACGTAGGGTTTTCCACCCATGTTGTTTTTTTTTGTTTAACTTTTTGCTAACTTTACTTATTATACTTCTGTTTTTCAGCTGTTTTAACAAAGAAATTTCCCCAAACGTAGCCATGAAGTGCCTGGACTGAGCTAAGATTTTCACAAACCATGATAACTTATTGCTGCATAATTTTCTGTACTACTATGCCACAAAATGACAATGATGTGCTATAGTAGTTGAAATGATGATCAGTTTACTTCAGCTAAGCAACAACCGTAGTGTCATATTATGAAGAAAGACAACATTTCTCTGCTGCAAAGTGTAAATGTATTCAATACTATGCCATATATCCTGCACACCAATAAGATGCAGTGCAACTTTTTTGCAGATTTAGACCAAGGACAGTTATTGGCAATAATTGGTAATTATTATTTGTAGGTGAATGTAGGGCTGGGAAATATATCGAGTTTTTAAGATATATCGATATATTTTCAAACAAGATATAGGGTAAGACAATATAGTTAATATCGATATAGTTTATGTTTCATTAAAATAACGTTACAGAGGTGCAGGTCGCCTTTTTCTCATCTCACTGATGATGTCTGACTGTCTGTCCCTCTTAACCCTGCTCCTCCTCGCCCTCTTTTATTGTATTTAAGGAACATTGTTATTTTATAATATTACTTTTTAAATTCACAAACAGGTAGTTTATTTATATACCGGTATATCGAGTATCGCCATTCAGCTAAACAATATCGAGATATGAGTTTTGGTCCATATCGCCCGGCCCTCTGTGAATGTTTGGAAAGAGTTTGAATACTGTTTAAATAATAATTATATATCCAGGTTGACACAATACAAAGGACCACAGAGGATCTTTGGTACCTAAAATGTAATATTACCAGTTTCTAATTAAAAGTAACATGTCTAGTCGTTATTAAAATGTGTATTTAATATTGTAACTGAGTGGTGGGATTATTATTCATCTTGAAATGACATAAAAGCAGCATCAAAGATTGTAATGAAGATGTTTTACAGACAGTCTGAGGGAATACAACTTTTCCTCTTGCTCCTCATTATCATTTAAACTTTTAAACTTTAGCCTGAGTTGCATATATCATATATCAAACTGTATTGTGGGCTCATGTTTTTTAGTATGGGTGGGATATGTATGTATATATGTGTTGTGTTGTGTGTTTGTATGTATGCTGGCTGCAGGAACACCTACATGTCCCTGCTGGGATGAATAAAGTATATCTTATCTTATCTTATCTTATCTTTATCTGATCCCTCCTGCAGCCCAAGTTGAACAAACTGGTGCAGTTCTGCACTATGGTAAAAGACAATCTAGTATATATATATATAAAAGCTATAAAGTAAGGCCTATCCATTAGTAATCACATCAGAAGTGAATGCATGAGATTCCAAAAACAAATAACAAAGTAGGTTGACGACACGACTTCTAAACATCGTTAGATTAGCTGCAGAGTTACATGATGTTAAATGTCCGTTTCTGTCTCATTACAGATCCTGACCGTCACCTTTAGAGCTGAGCTAGGAAATAAGAGCCATAACGTTGTGGAAACATGAATCTGGGAGCCTCTACAACTGTTTCATTTGGTTTCATCTCGCCTCACTTGACGGTCGCTAGCTTACAGCCAAAACACAGCGAGCTGTTAGCAGCTGGCTAGCAAAGGTTAGCTCGTAATGATGACATACATACCGTCTGTTGCCGGTGACAGTTACTGCTACAGACAGTTAAAAAAGAGACGAAAAGAATGGTCCTGACTCCCCGAGATGATTTCAAGTTGATTAACGAATGGCCCCGGTGCCGCTGCTTGCACTTCTTTTCCTCCGTATTCGGTCCCACCTTTCCGCTCCGGTTCGAACGACAACAGCCTGCATAGTGCTCGCTCTGTTGTTCGCTGTTCTCGTTCTATTCAAATCATATCGCGAGATTTCGAGTAAACTTTCAAAGGCTAAAAGTAAAGCTTTGCGAAAGGAGCCAAGGGCAGGCGACTGTAAACAGACACAGCACCGTCCCTGTGTGTCTTTTTATAAATTCACCCTCCCTGACTCTAATGCACAAGACTGGGGAAACTCTGAAGACGTTGGAAAAAAGGCAACAGATGTTGCACTTCCACTATAGACTGATCCCTGTTGACATGGGTCCGCTTTAGTACTTTCTGAGATGGACTCATAAAGGCGCATCTAACCCCCGTTGAATTTACCTATGCTAATCTTTTTAGTTGAGAATGTAATTTTAAACGTGTTATTCAATGTTTATATTTTATTGTTGGCCCAATTATGTTGTTTTGCAGTGTTGATCTAATTTAATTTTTAGAAACACATTCAGTTTATAAGATAAGATAAGATAAGATAAGATATACTTTATTCATCCCAGCAGGGAAATTTAGGTGTTCCAGCAGCCAGCATACATACAAACACACAACACAACACATATATACATACATATCCCACCCATACAAAAAAACATGAGCCCACAATACAGTTTGATATACGATTTATGCAACTCAGGCTAAAGTTTAAAAGTTTAAATGTCTTCTGTCCTTAAAGGAGAGTCGTTATAAAGTGCAATTGCAGTGGGTAAAAGAGTGTTTTTAAATCTGTCCTTTTTGCAGTTTAGCTGCTGTAGCCTCCCACTAAAAACACTCATTTGTTCACACAAGATTGTGTAAGGGATGCATGTTATTGTCCATAATGTTCAACACAATATCATTAGGCCTATCATAATAATGTTGTCTACTCTTGTCTTGTCACATGGCCTTTTGAATTTCAAACAAATAAGGAAAAGCTTGTAGGTTAAAATAAGTAAGAGAGGTATGGCTAGACCAGGGATGGGCAACTTTGGTCACAGCAAGGGCCACATTTATTAAATTCTCACTGCCCGGTGGCCAAATTGTAGTATACATAAACAATTACAGTCAATTATGTCTCAAATTTAACTCTGGTTTTCATGATTTCATGGCAGTTTTCATGATTTCATGGCAGATTTTGTCATGTTTTCTTCATGTTTCCAATTAATTGATATATAGAAATTGTCCTGAGGGCCACGTTGAGGGTTGATGGGGGCTGCATGTGGCCCCCGGGCCACCAGTTGCCAATCTCTGGGCTAGACAGTCATATCTCTTGTCGACAGTGTGACAAAACGCTTTCAACTATCCCATAATCTATCTTTGAGCAGCCCTTACCCTGATGAAACGTGCTACTCAAAGTCCCATTGCTTGATTGATCAATAGAGTGACTGAAGCTTAGAAAAGGTTGCAAGATATCAATACAAATCTACTCAGGCTTTGTCAATGATTGTTTTTGTTTTGTAAACAGACGAGCCAACGCCCTGCAACCTCTAGTTTGACCCTTACAAAAGACCTCAGTACTTAAGCTTTTGACAAAGTTATTTCTTCTGGCCTATTGTAGGCTACGGAGCCCCTCAGGTCCCAACTCTCTGGGACTACAGGGCCCACTGTTGTCTGTACATTTGGTGACATTTAAACCCTTTGTGATGCTGAATGGACAAGGCCTACAGGTTATAATGAAAAGCGATAGATGTCGAGTTGTTGCCCAAAACCGACCAGGACGTTTTCCTAGTTAAAAACTGTCCATTCTGAACACAACGCAATCCTAACAGCTTGCATTATTCATTATTTATAAACACAAAGGACAAATACAAAACAGAACTGCTGCTACCTTTTTCTTATTGATGCTGCTATTTTATTATAAATCTGTACCGGTATATTTTATTTAGACATGTCTATTGCTGCTACTGTGTACAGTATATTATTTGTATATATGTATTTACGATCAAAAGTTCATATTTGAGATTGATTTCAACTATAGCTTTCTGTCCTGTGTCCATTATCAACTTCCTGTTTTTACCTGTATAAAATAAAAAAATAGAAGGCAACCCTTAACACAAGAAACGAAAAATAAAATGGATAAATGATTTATTTTGGTATTCTCTAGTTTGTTTAACCAAGGACCATCAACTTAGAAGCAATTTCAGGTACAATTTGGTGAACTGAAATGAATGATAATTCATACAAAGTTCAGCTTTGTAGAAGAAACAGCGCCATGATGAACTATTCCTTGCTAAGATCTCTTTCTCTGGTAAAAAATATATTACTGAGAAATAGTCACCCTGCT